CCCCTGGAAAGTAAATCGATTTTTTGCCCCCCCCCCCAGAAAGTTTTCTGCGGGCGCCCATGCCCCCACCCTCAAAATTCGAGCCGCGTTCTGTCCGAAATGGATGCACAACCGTGTAAAGGAAAAGCAGCGCCCTGTGCGAATGCGCCCCCTGATATTGAGGTCCCTTGCGAGTACCACCTTTACATTGCTGTGCATGGATCCAGTGGGCTAATATAGGCCAAAACGGGCCAAAGTGTCCTCGTTTTATAACCATTTTAATTGTTTCTATAGTATAGTAGTTACTATCCTAGTGTCTCATTTTTATTTTACTTAGTTTACATGTTTTTAATAATTGTAAAGCGCTTAGAGCTTTAAAGTAAGCGCTATATAAAAATGCCTAAATAAATATCAAAGTAGATAGATCTATAAAATGTTAAAAAAAATTATTTAAATCTAAAATATATCCAATTGGGCAATTTTTATAACGTATCTTTGAAGACAGAAGAGTTCTCCTTGTTTTTTTCCACAATGGCGTCGTAAATGGCAAAAGATTCATGAATTGTAGGCTACCTTTTTTTTTTATCTTGTTCAATTTTGTTAAATGGATATTGTACATGAACAAAAAGAAGCTATTTTAGGCCTTTAGTTCCATCAGGTGAAGAGGAAGTTTTAATTTTATATCACTACTAGAAATAATTAATCGTGCTTAAATTTCATTGCCTTTTAAACTTTTAACTTTTAGTAGTCTTGCCTTAGCCTTAGGCCTTAGCCGCCTTAGCCTTAGTCTTAGGCTTAGGCCTTCTTAAGCCTTGGCCTTAATTTTACCTTACCACCCGGCACATGTTTTTATATTGTTGCTTTACTTTTAACTTTTACTTTACCCTTTACAGTACTTTACTTTTCCTAATTTAGGCGTGCTAGAAGGCTGTCGTAACAAGGAAACAAGGGCTTGCCAAAGAAATATTGCAGGGGACCACAAGAGGAGGGAGAAGAAGAGGAAGACAAAGAAAAAGATGGGAGGATAACATCAAAGAGTGGACAGGACTAACACTGGGCGATGCAGTGGGTAGTGCTGAAGACGGAGATGAATGGAGGAGGATGGTTCACATGTCATCTGTGACGCCCCAACGGTCCAAGGACTAAGGGACATGAGGATGAGGAGGATGGTTGAACGCCGAGACCCGCCAATTCTATGATTTTCAGAGACTCTGTGAAAAAATATTATGAAGAGTTTGATAGGCATCAGCATGATTATGATTATGGTAATTTTTTCCGATAAAATACATATATGGTTGTTGAAGTTATAGCACTTTCTAATAACGATCTGGCAGTGAATGGAACAAGAAAAACGATTGGTTGTAATATTTTTTTAAAGTTTATACAATCGTATTTTATATTATATTATGTACGCACTGAGAGGGGAGGTGGGCGTTGTTGATTAGGGAGATTTTGCATATGAGACGCTTGGGGCTAATGGTAGTTGGGGATGCCATGACGTCTTTTTTCGGTGTTTACATGTGGGAGTCACTTCCCTTTGTTTATTTTTAGATAACTAATATTTTTATGTATTAGTATTAATTCGCCCGAGGAATGTTTAATATTAAATTGTATTTGTTTCTTTTGGGTTTTTATTTTCATAATAAATGAAAAAAAGAAATATAATTTTTAAATATAGACGTGAAATTTTATTGTTTTATTTTGACAAAATGGTGAGAAATTATTTTTTTTTGTTGGGTACTTTATAATGATGCGGATATAGAAAGGATTGCTTAAATAATTCATCTGTTGGTATTCTTGATTGCTTGACCGGGTGCCCGGTAAGTTTAAAATTGTTTTTTTTTTTTTGCATTGTCAGCAATTTTAGTTAGATAGATATTGGGTAAATTTATGCAGATGGAGCTTGAATTTAACACCCATTTTTGGAATCATCTGGAAAGTTAGGGCCAAAGGAGTGTGATAGATTGGCTCATGAGTACCAGTCTCATTGCAGATAGATACGAATGTCCCCATTGTAAGAAGGGTACGAACTTGTGTGCATGGGGAAATGCTTCAGATGAGTTTGCATGGCAATGTGGTGACAAAAGTCGTCGCAATATTGTGCATAGTTTAAGGAAGGGGTCGTGTTTTAGTGACAGTAGATTGACGTGTGACATTATGTTATTGGCACATTTTTGGTTAAGAAAAATGCCTTTGGGACATATTGCGAAAGAAGTAAGCATTTGTTGGGGTAGTGTAAAAGACTGGGTCAGCTTTTTGTGGTGAGGTCTGCGTGGAAGCGTGTGTTGTGATGAGTGAGAGCTTAGGAGGAGTGGGTAAAATTGTGGAGATGGATGAATCCAAATTCGGCAAGCGGAAGTATCATAGAGGCAAACGCGTAGAAGGAAAATAGGTGTTGGTGGGATTGAAAGAGGATCAAACAAAATCTTTTTCAGGGTTGTTGAGAACCGTGGTAAAGATGTCCTCCTGGCAATAATTAAAGAATTAGTGCAGCCAGGAACCACAATAATTTCTGATTGTTGGAGGTCTTACAACTGTAGGGTTTCACCACCTGAGGGTGAACCATACAATTGAGTTCAAACACTCTGAAACGGGCGCACACACCAACACCATAGAGGGCACCTGGAGTGCAATTAAATGATCTCTGCTCACAAGAACCTGTCCTGGGGAGGAGCAGTTCAACTCATATTTATTTGAATATATGTGGCGACACTTATGTGGTAATAGAGTTTAAATGAGAGAATTTTTAAATGCTATAAAAATTGTGTATCCTCCCCAAATACAAGATTCTGATGCATAAGGAGTGAGTAAAAAATTATTGAAATTTCATTGATTTTTAAAAAGATTTTGCTCGGGATAGATATAGGGTTAGGGTTTTTAATAACACGTGTTTTGCACTACTTTTTGAGCTGCCATCTTGGTTGACACTTCACGTGACTTCACGTGTTGTCAACCAAGATGGCGGCCATTGAGAAAATAGTGGCATCCACAATGACCATTTACCAACGCTTGGATAGGGGGATAGGTGGGTGTGTCAAAGGCAATAAAAATTCGAATGCCATAAAAATTTCACCTCAACCTATCGTATTGATGGTAATGATTGTCATATTGTTGCTTTGTGCGTCACAATGAACTACCTAGATGCGTCAACAGTAATATTTAGTCTAGTTGCCCTCGCAATAACTTCACTCGACCATCCCCTTTTTCTGCTACCAGGCGTGTGATGTAGTTTTGTTACATAATTATTTTGTTCGCCAGAACCGCAATTGTGAAAACGGAGAAAACTAGAGAAGGTTTTTAAAATAAAATACATTATCCAACTGTTCTGCACTGGGAAGTTGGATTTGGACATATTTTTTAATATCTAGTTAGTCGCATTTGAAATATTGAAATATATTTTTAGAACCCACAAAACAGCTCTATCCCTTAAACAATATATCCCCTCAACGACTTGCTGTAGTTATTGAGTGTCAAAACGATTGCAAAAAACATTTTGAAATCAAAGCCTGTAAGTTCTTTAAAGAAGCACTGAGTAAAAAGTACATCCTTGACATCTTTTTGTCAAATATTAAATTCAAAATCACTTTTCCAAAATCAAGTAGCTTGTGTAGAAGCTATGTTTTAATAAAATAAAAAGAGCAAATTTCTGAGTGCAGCTTTAAAGATGATTT